GCTCCACAAGATAACAAACCCTAGAAGAGACAGGCATCAGATTAATTCATTGGTGCCCATTTATTTTGAACATATCAATGCTGACCAAAACAATTCAGTAACAAGAAAAAGTTTTACTGTGCAAAGACAGCACTTATATCCATGATTTAGGGCACTAAGGTCTACTCAAACTCACTCCAAATAGCAGAAATCACCAAAAAGAATTACAGAAATTTTAAAAGTTTGCTTAGGGAAAAAGACACAAAACCTGTACCATGTAAACTGAAATCCTGTTTCTTCAGTCATAGGCAAAGTGCTATCAAATACATACACCTTGCATGGTTTACCTTTAATGTCAGCATTTTGGAACTGGACAAGGGGGAAATTTTCACCTCTAAACAGGCCTCCAAAAAACCTACTCATTCTTTTTTGTTCATGTCTATACCTGATGGGGGTCACAACGACAACAGGGAACATAAGGAATTCTGCAGGGCTAAAATTAACCATTTTGTTTACAGCATGAACAAAAATGACTGTCTTTTAACAACATACTACAGCACAACAGGTTACCCAAGCTATAACCGAAGAGCAATTCTCTTTTCCTACAGTTCTCATTAATTTATAGTTCTTTTTTCTATATGTTCCCTAAATGCCACTGTACTGTCTCTGCCATACATATAGTGCCTAGACAGAATCTTGTGATTTGGTAATAGTTGTTCTACAAATTCCTATTTAAAACACAGAATTTTTCTTTAATCGTTTTACAGGTAAAAAAAATAAAATTGCTTTGCTTATTTGTTTGAATTTTTCTCACGTCAAATCTTGAAGCCATGCCATGCGGTTCTGTCACTTAACACAAACGGGAAAAATAATGCCAGAGAGAAAAGCAGAAATGCTCTATTTTTGTACCATTCCAGTGAGGAATAGGATACTGTTTGGAATGGCACAGATACCATTCAGAATATATTTTCATAATACAGAGCTGTCTACTCAGGCCAATAGCAACATAAATGCGCTTGATTTGTTTAATACAATGGTTCTTACTAGTTTATTTAGAGTTTAAATTAAACCCCAAACCCCCTAAATTTGCAATCAGCTACTAAAAATGTATTAATCTAAATGGCATCTATGTTGTCTATATTGAACAAAATTGTTATGGTATGTTTCATTCCTAAAGCACAGAGAAAACACTTTGATATTTCAGGTGGGTTCTTAGGAGGAGACAGACCCATATGCACAATACTAGCATTATATAGCAGCCTAGAAGTGGAAGAAATTACATTTCAATTACAAAAGCAAATAAAATATTTTCATATAATTTAAAATAGGACCCTCTAGACTTTTCCCAACGCGTTGTAATCCAATCCATCAGAACAATTAAAAACCACACACTGCTTAGCTACAGCCTTGGCTAAATCTTTTGTTGTTTCTGTTTGTCCAGTTCCTACAGGACCTTCAGGAGCACCTCCGAGATGCAGATGTAGCGCACCAAATAGGGTTTGAAAACAAAATAGAAGGAAAAAAAAAAGTTGTAACAATTTTATGCTATTTTTCTAGCTGCTCCAACTTCTCCCAGGAGCTCTCAAAACTTGTTTAATGCCTAAACTTCCCTCAGGTTGTACAGTTTGTGTGCTCCTGCTAACTGCAGTCCACAAATACATAGAGATGCTTTAAGTTTACTACAAGTTAAAAACAAAAACCCTGTCGCTTACTATCCATTTATCACTAACCACAGTGTTACAAAAGATTAAATTTATTAGAAATTTAAATCAAAATATTCATACAGGATGAATTCTAATCAATTACAACACTTCTAATTATGCCTATTAGAACATCAAAGATACAATCCTGGAGTCACCCAATTTGGGACTAAAATATCTCAACTAAGTAGATTCTTGCAAGCACAGAACATTTAGTAACAAGTGCTTTTACCTGTAGAACCTGTCTGTAAGTGGAGTAATAATCAGCCTAGGTGTATTGCCAAGATATTCATATCCATATCTCAGTCCAGCATTGATCATTCTTGTTTGAAGATGTCCTTCCTAAGAAAATAAGGCACTGACTTTATAGGTGAAATGATAACACAAAGAGAAAAGACAACACAGTATTCTTCAACTTTGTAGATGAGCACAACCCTTTTAAAACAATTGGTGCATTGCTCTGAGACAGCTTGTGGTTCAATTAAATAAAAATATCACCATTTCAGAGATAGTAAAGTATGAACACAAAACCATTTTTCCATTAACTTCTATCGAGAAAAAAACCCTACCAACCATATTGCTGAGTTAAAACGGCCTTGTTCAGCTACTTAGAAAGATGAAGGCCTTTCTCAAACAGAAGTAATTGTATCTCAGAATTGCAGGAAGGTTGAGGCTGGAAGGACTTTAGCCTATCATTCTAAGCCAACCTCTCTTCTCCGTCCCCTACAGCATACTAAGCAGGCTTGTATCCAGACAGCTTTTAAATATCTCCAGAGTAGGAGACTCAACAGTCTCTCTGGGTAACCTGTTCTAGAACTCAGTCAGCCTCACTATAAAGAGCATTTTCCCCGTGTTCAGTCAGAGCTGCCTGCGTTTCAGTTTCTGCCCATTTCCTCTCATCCTATTACTGAGCACACCATTGAGGACAGTCTGGCCCCATCCTCTTGTCATCCCCTTTTCAGATACTTATGTACATGGATCAGATCTCCCCGAGCCTTCTACAAGCTGAACAGGCCTAATTCCTTCAGCCATTCCTCTTATCAGAGATGCTCCAGTCCCATAAATATTTTATCAGTCCTTCACTAGACTTGCTCCAGGAGCTCCAACGACCAATAGCTGAATTTACAGTCAACTTGATGACTCTAATATGGCAACACAACATATTTTAATTTTAGGTGCAATGTCTTCTGTAAATTGGGAAATGTTGTCTTGACAAATGCAAATATACTGTATGCTACCACCACGCAGTATAAACGTTGCTATTTTTCCAAGTAACACATAAAATAATATTGACATCAGATTAAAATCTTTAGTTGTCATCCTTAACCCATTTTTTACTCTTCAGAAACAACAATAATAAATAGTGTTAATAATAAAAATTAGTGTTTGAACAACAGCAATCTCTGCTGCCAATTCAGACAACATTCTGAGATTCAGCAGTGATGAGATTTTAATTAGAAACTGATTGTATTTGGCTACTGGACACTTTAGTTAGCAATCCACAGAATTATCAGTTAAAGGTATATTCTTATCAGCAGAAATTATCACATCAGAGTAACTATTCTCTGTGTCAGCAAGCAAGCAGAAATTGAAAAGCTATGAATGGAAATTACCTTCTAATAAGATTGAGAGGTCTCACTTACCTCCCAGTAGTATCTAAGCTGACTTAGCCATTCAAAGTCATTCTCATCTTTGATTTTCTTGCTTACTAGGGATGCAAGGACATCCCTAGCGTGAACATCAAGCACAACAAGTGCTCCAAGCGTCACACGATTCTGCTTAGACAGCTTTCCTCGCACCAAGGTGACAATGTCCTCTATCTGTCTATTATTCTGTTCCAGAAAATCCTCTAGTGCCTGGGAAAATTTTTACAAGTTAGGTAACTGCAGGTTTAGTCTAAGGCATGAGGATTTTTTTCCTTATATTACTCTTCTTTTTCTGTATCAAAACATTCCTTCTCACTATTTCAACAGTAAACTATCATTCACAGACATAGCTCAACAGGGCTTTATCTATTTGATTCAGTTTTTTTAATGTTACAGAACAATACATGGAAACATCAATGACACATCTCAGGAGACAAAACAGCATAACTTATTTCTTCCTGAAATACATGAATTACTCCTTAGCTTTTGGTAAATTTCACATTAAGAAAATGACATATATTTTAATGACTGGCCTATATGTGACACGTATTTTAAGGACTAGCTTGCATGTATACAATACGTTTTCTATGCTTAAGGAACATCACAATACTAGAAAAAACCTTTAAGCTGTACAGTAGTTAGGAACAATCCAGTTATAATCCTTTTCATTCTCATAGGTTGCAGTAAACAGGAAAGGTCCAATTTAAGGAAAGCACTTACATCAATACTGAGAAGTGATAAGTGCCTCACTAAACTGAAATTAAAAAGAAAGACATCGGAACCTGGAAACAGAGTTTGCCATTTAGACATCTGTATCTTCTGCACTCAAATGCATGCTCCTTCAGGAAGCTGCATTCACTGAAGGTCCACAGTAAGCTTGATTGCTCTGAATCCTTACAGAAAAGTCAGAAATTTCTGCTATTTGTCTAGAGAAAAACTTACCTACATCTGGTTTAGATTTTTCTCCACACTAGAACGTTGTTCATCTTCACATACTCTGGCAGCAGTAACCACCAATGAATTTTTCATATTTTGACATCTCTCACCCCAACTAACTATTTCCCAAACACTAAGCTTGATTAAATCATCCACTTAAAATTACTTATTTTTAATTTACGAATATAAAGAAGCAAAAAAAGTTCAAAATCGCTTCACTATTACGAGTTACTTCAGAAGTTCCAATCAGGCAGCATCCAAAACACACCACTCAAGTCAGGGGTAAAAACCCATTTGCTTACCACCAAGCTTTCCAAACTTTCACCAAGCAAACCTGTAAAAACCTAGATGCTAGTATGTTCTCATCTCCCATTTCAGTATCACTCTTTACTACTGCACTTCTGACTATATACTCCACTGAAAATAAAAGCATTCCACAAAATATTACTGTGTAAATTTATGAAAGTTTTTTTCTATCTTACATCTTACCTCACTATTTGTTTTAATAAAAAACTTGTACCTTTGTACAGTTATCTGTTGGAAACAACTAAAAAAAAAGCTAAAAGAATCCTGTGTATATGCCTGCGTGTGTATGCATGTGTATATGAGTAAATTTTTAATCATAAGAAGTGACTTAAATGAGACTGGTGTCCTGTCCCAGAAAACACTGAAGAGCTTCTGTTAAAAAAAGAAGTGTTTTGTCACCGTATGCACAGAGTGCCTTTGATGTCAGCAAAACATGATGCTGTAGGTAGGATACCGTTTATTTTGACCAGGATAAAGTTGTGTCACACAGAACGCCTCTCATGTGGTCAGTGACTGTTATGTTTCATTTGCTTTAATACAAAATAGAAATGGTACAGATAAAGAATTTTGAATGTTCTGAGACTGAAAGTGCTCGTTGTCCAAGAACTGTGACAGACCGTTAGGAGATGCAAACCTCCTCCCAGTCCTTCACTACATACAGGTCTCTTTCTGCAGCAAAATGAAGATTCTTGGGCTGGGGCCAGATGGGCAGAACTACCAGCACAAAAGAATTTGAATAAAGCCTACAGGAGTGACAGGTTTCCCTAAATATCCAGATATAGAAAAGACTTAACATAGGCTAGACAAGAGCCTTGTCTAGGCTCAGAATTCCGTTACAAACATTCCCCAAACCAAATGAATTTAATAATTCCTTAACTTCTTACCTTTATTCACTAACAACCTCATTAAGACGATGCTGGATTTGAAGTCTCTGGATTTTATGCTGGATTTAAAATCTCTAAGGTTAGAATTTCTGTTTCTCCTTCCTGAAAGACTTTCACCAAGAGAAGATAAATGGTGCAGTATGCAGAAGCTTTCCTTCTTTCCCGAGAGAACTGAGGATCTCCATTACTACTAGAAAAACAAATTCTTTTTAAATCTTTTTCAAATCTTCCAGTCCATTGCAAGACTCATTCCTTGTATTAGAAATACTGTTTTCTTCTTCCTTCAGTTCTGTCCACCCAGAAGCTTGTTTTTCCTCACATCTATCTGACAAATAAAGATTCTTGAAATGCCCACTACTATCAGAAGCCATTGCTTCCACTTGTGAATAAGCGGCGTTATATGGCCTTGAAACACTCCTTCATATATAGACTAAAGAGTAGGTTTAAGTTTGTGTTTGTGTTATAACTCAGGTATATATGAACAGCAAAAACCCCAAAACGCAAATACTGCAGATTTTTCTCCAGTTCATAGCATCACATTGCAAAAATTGGTAAGAGAAAGTATTATGAAGTGCCAAAGATACTGTTTTATGTAAATCATGATGCTCCTTTCTCTCCTAACATCAGAGAAGGAAAATCTAGTTGCCTCAGACGATAACACATAGCTAGTAACAAGTCTGGAACATTTCCAAATACAACAGGTAATAGCAATCCTTACTGATGAAACAGAGGAAAGATTTTGCAAAACACATCCTGAATTCAATGCCTTCGGTACCTTTCTTCTCACCACCTAACGAACAGATAACATGTTCTGTATCAACCATGCACTCATTGTTTCACAAGAGTGAAGACGGTACTTATACTCTGCTAGTGCTAGCCCATATTTATAACAAGTACTGAACATGTAGGAAGCTAAGCTCAGTTACAGACAGAGACTATCCATGCTAGTTAATAGTATCTGAATACACCAATGACCTCTTTTCACGGAAACATATAATATACATGTTAAGCTATACAGAATGTATTCTGATAGTGTGCTGAAGCATGCCTACATTCAAAAGAAAATATTAACTTCAAAGTCTTCAAGAATCACAGCTCAAGTGTACTTTCAAAGTAGGTATTAAAAGGATTAATTATTACACTGAGCAGCTACTCATTCAAAAAGATAACTAAAGGTTGGATTCACCACTGTGTTACATCAATTGCACAAAATTTAAATATACACTGAATATTCTTACCTTCTGGCCATTTCTAATAGGCTTCTCTACCTGCATCGTCCAGAAAGTTTGGGATACGCAAAGAACAGTTTGTCCAGGCCACTCTCGTACCCAGTCAACACATGGAGTTTTGGGATAAGCTTCAATTGCATTCTGAATGACCTACATAGGATAGAAGTACGTGGTAGCCACATATGAAAATAAGTAATGTTTAGCTTTAGAATTTAGGTTAGGTTGCAGTACTAAGAATCAAAAATAAACCAGCCTCAACTCTAACGCTATGACATTGACATCCTGCAAGAAAATCCCTCCAAGATTAAAAAAATGAGAATGTGATAACATGAACCAAGTGATCACAAAAAATTTCTGAGAACTAATTTCACAACACATTCAGGGCACTGAAAACATAAAATTTTCTACCTCCATCTATAATGAAACTAGAAAACAAGTGCAAATACAGCTTAGTTAGAACGAACAACCCAAACTGAAAAGTCTTTTTAAAATACAGTTATTCTGCTATAAATACAGAGCTTTGAATTTTGCAGTTCATATTATTTAAACTTATATCTAATTTCATGTACATTTTCTAGCAACAGAATGATAAATCTGGTTATTACACGACTTAAGGATAATCCCAATGAAATCAAAACTTAGGAAAATCTTTCAGTCCCTAACATTTTGTATTTTTTTCTTCCATTAACAAAATTAAGTAAGAGTAAGGCAAAAGCTTAAGAAAATTTAGATGTCTCCTCAGAAAATCAGTGTAACATGAGTTGGATGAAAACCTGCTGTACGTCCTGCACTTCCAGATCTCTTTACTTTCAACAATTTATACACAGAATAGCATGAATAACCCATTACGGAATTGACACCACAACTACATAAATATTATGTGTTTCAGATCATTACAAAAGTTTAGAAATCAAGAGTGAATGCAGACAAATGGTGCTTGGCCACTTCTTACTTACATGCACCAAGCAGGTAAATTTAGTCACTTCTATTTGCCGACACACCATTAGTATAATTAAACTGTAATACTGTACAACAGTGTCAGAAGCATGTACATTTGATTACCTCACTTGACATTGAAGAGAAACAAAGAAAATGACAGAGATAGCTAAATATATGACATGATGATGTGATCTTGTGGATACTCGAATAGCACAATCTGAAAAGAGTTCAGAATCTTGATTAAGGTAGTCAGAATTAAAAGGAGTATTAAAAAATAATTTAAAAAAGAATTAAAGGAGTATTAAAAAATAAGGGCATACTTTCATTTGAATCTTGTCCTTTAATACCACACCCCAAGAGTAGAACAATCTCTGACAAAAGAATCCTTGGGTCAAGTGTTTTTCATTTTTAAGAAATTTAGAGCATTATAAATCCGGAAAACTGGTATCAGATTAGTTGTTGTTGTTTGTTTTAAAAAAGGTATAATCTTAATAGACTGAATTCATGGTTTTAATGCTCATGCTGTGCAAAGAATAAAGTGATTCCAGTATACGTGAACGTTAACAGAAGAAATCAAGGCTAAATGACAAGAGCCTAAGGAATAACTAAATAACTTCATTTGGAAATGAGGTCCAGAAATATCGAAAGCAAATACGCCTAAATACATCAATACTTGGTACTACTTATAATCACTGATAAAGGACAAATCAAATTGCAGTTGAAGTGACATGTAATCAAGGTGGCTTTCTGCCTTCAGAAGATATTATGCTTTAAATGCCTTAATTCAACAGACTACTTGATTTTTGCTTAACTTCAAGCATGAGTTTCCATGAACTTTACTGCTTACGCCTCCCAACACTCCAACACCAGGACAAAATACCACAGAACCATTTAAGTTGGAGAAAACCTTTAAGATCAAGTCCAATCACCTACCTAACTACCAAGTCTATTGCCAAACCACATCCCACAGCACCACAGACACATTTCTTAAATGCTTCCAGGGATGCAGACTCCATCACTGTCCTGGGTAGCCTATTCCAATGCACTGCCCCTTTTTGCATGAATAAATTCTCCCTGATATCCAATCCAAACCTCCTCTGGCACAACTTGAGGCTGTTTCCTTGCATTCTATGAGCCATTTTCTCATGTCCTAAACGTAGCTGTTTTTGTGCTGGACACACAGCACAACTGCCACAACTAAGTACTTTCAATCTTTAAACAGCTACACATCAATCACCTTACTATTTTTTTCATGTTCCAGAGAAAAATAAAAGCTTTATGATTTGTTACCTTGTGGACAGAATTCAGCATAGCTGCCTCCAGTTCAAGGAGCCATCTTTCAACTTGACCTCTAGCTTCAGAGGTTGAAATGGTCTGTGTGAGTTTCACAGTCTCTCCTTCACTACTTTTAATGTGCGTAATATCTAACACATCAGTAAACACCACTGTTGCAATTCCTTCAAAACACTTTTTCAGGTGAGGCTGTACTCTAGAAATCAAAACTAGTATTAAACAGCTTCTGCCATTGTTTCCTTTCCAATCTAAGAAAAGTAGATCTAACTTTTCACAAAAAATACTTTCAAAGAAATTAAAGGTTGCTTTAAGCTTATTAATAAAATTATTATCCTCAACAGTAGCTCTTTTGTATTACACCTACAAGAAGCCCACTGCACGACTCTGAGAGGACCAGTTAAAGATGTACAATATTACTTATGTCTTCTGTAATATATAATCCAAAAAGACAAATAGGAATCCTCTCTTTAACAGTTAATCCACCTAAAGTGCATAAAGTTTCATTATTTATACTTTTCCACAGAACTATTGTAAATATTAATGAATTTAAGTAAAACAACCCTATTAATTGCACTGCATTAATATTGCTTAGTAATTAGAAGATTGTTTATTATTTTAATTCTTATCCTTGCATGGCCTTGCACTGGACGCTATCAGATCTGAACAATGGGAATGAAACAGCAGTGTATGGATCCTACCTGATGTTCAATTTTCCACTGGGAAAAAAACAACACAGTATGCTAATTTCACTATGAATTATTAATTGGACTCTTGAATTTTCTGAAAAACTGTGTACAGAAAGGTTACTAGTTTAGGAAACAAAGAAGAATTCAATTACTTGCATTAAAAATCACTCTGCATTTGCCTAATACAAAATCCAACCTAGTACATTCTTAACGCCATGGTTGTCAGTGGGGAAAAAAAAACAACTTATAGAGAAACAGAGAAACAATATGGCAAGCCTGTCTGCATGCACAACGAGTCACAAATGCATCTACTAAATACTACGGTACCGGGTAGGATCTTTGGTCTCTGAAAGAATCTCAAGGAGTTCATCATTAGATAAAAAAAAGAATCTTGGGAAAAACAGGCGCTTCTTCTCTAGGTATTCGTTAAGTCCCTTGAGAATTATCTCCAGAAATTCATTGCACTTCCTCAGTTTTTCCAACATCTTGTCTATTGTTACCACTGCCAGCACATGTTTGTCCTGAAAGAGAAATCAAACCTGATAAAAACATTCATGTCTACTCACACAGAAAGCAGTAAAAGTCTTGAGCAAAACTAAACTTTATTTCATACTTTTCTTTACTCTGTAATTGCCAGAATTACAATTTATAATCTTCAGTTTCTGGCTTCTCTAGAAAAACAGGCAGTTGGCATTAAACTACATTTACTATTTCTGAAAATAATTTTCAAAACATAATCAATTCATCAGACTGATTTCTGTCATTTTGTTGAACCAACAGCTATCTACCCCTTAATCATACCCATATAATTAAGAAAAATGAACCAGCAAAAGACTGTGACAGATTTTTAAGTATACTTGTATGGCAACAATACTGACACACACTTTATCTGGTAATCTGTAAAATTCCAATGTAAAAAAAAATGATCTCTTTTCTCATGTAAAATACTTCTATACATAAGATCCTGAGTTGAGATGGCAAAATTGCAAGTAGGCAGCACTGCTGCTGTCTATAGGACTTCAGTACTAACATTAACTAGTGATATGCTCTGAAAAAGGCATTCTCTTATCCTAATGATTACTAACTAAAAACATCTTTAAAGATTTTTGCTAAGATGAAGTTACAGATTCTTTAGAAGAATCACAATTTTTTTTTTTTTATTTTTTACAATAGCACCTGAATAACACATACTAAGATACACTGCTTGATAAACAGTTCCTTATGTTTTTACACTGAGTAGATAACAACACATATCCCTCAGCTACTGCCTTTCAAATTAACACCTTCAGTGAAAAGAACATATGTGCTTAAAGAAATATATATTGCATGAGCTGAAAGCTGCTTCAATTAATTTTAAAAAATGCATAAAATTAAAAGGTTCTGCAAGTGACCTGAAGATTATCAAGCTAAAAAGTAAGTTTGAAAGAAATATAGTTGTCTGAATATCAAACTCTGGCATTTAATACATAGCTTGTGACCTATCAATTTCCAGCCTAATTTCCATTAACTTTTTTAAGCCACTCACTAAGTATGAAATTTCTGTAGCGAAATGAGAGACATTTCCAAGTAGGAAATCCAGATGTGCAGATTTATGACAGTGGAAGTCAGGCCAAACAAATGTTTCTACTTAGAACCTGTTGTGGGTTCATGTATGACTGAATTAATCCAGCATTGCACTGTTCAGGCCCATACTGGTTTATATTACCTGACTCGCTGACCACTCAACTGATTCAAGCTTACTCTTGTTGCAATGCATAAAGTTCTACAACACCACGGGAAGGGAAGGCGAAGTGATTAGTCTGGGAACACACTTCAATAGCTTTTCCTTTACCACCTGCATTTCCCTGGAATTTGATTGAGGCCACAGAAGAGAAGGAAACAGAGTAACTAGAAATCTTAGGCTCTGTCCAGTGAGTTTGTACCTGTAAGAGTACTATATACTACACATGACCAGGGGTAAAGGGGAAAAAAATGTAAGTACAGAATGAACTAAACAACGAGAAACACCAAAGAAATCAGTAGGGACTATTTCAGGCTAATCAATCTGCGAAGGACATGTAAGAACAACTGGCTGTAGAATAATGCAGCAGTAAGA